CTCTCCTTGATCTGATCTGTTATTTAACCTACCTCACTAGAGAGAAGGTATGGACTACTGTCAGGTTTCTCCGAGATCTTGGATACAATAGCGGTCTCAACCCTAGTCTTCAGGTTCTTCCGGAGTAAATTAGCAGGGTTTATCTGTACAGGAGTCGACAATGTTCTAGCAGAGGCTCTTTTCAACGCCGGAGTTTTTTTCTCAATAAGACAGAGAGTAGCCACCCGTCCTGGAGTCTTTCTAAACTCGGGATTTCTACCCGATGCAACCTTGTCTGATGAAGGTTCCGGGATTGCAATCTTAGTTTTCTTTCTTGGAGTTCCACTTTCAGCCTCAGCTTTCCTTTTCAAGCTTGGTTTAACCGGGGTCTTAGAGTAAATAATCTTTTTAACAACATTGCTTATCTTCTCCGGGGAGGAGGGTTCGGACTCCAGGTAGGAGGATATAGTGCTAGGATCCTCCTGCAGTTTAGGGTCTATTCGGGCCAAACGAACTTGTACCTCTTGAACAGCCGAAGTTAGGTCATCAATGCTGTTATTAATGGATTTAGGAGTCTTTGCAGGCTTTGCGGACTTAGCTGTTGTCTTTAAGGCCTTAGCTTGTGTCTTTGCGGCCTGAGCTGGCGTCTTTGCCGACTTAGCTGGAGTTTTAGCGGATCTAGCCGGAGTCTTGGCGGCTAATTTATTACCTCGAAGTTCTTTACTTACTGCAACTATTGGGGAGTTGAGCTGTATGGTTGCACGGCGAGGTTTCACCTTCTCAGGAGCTTCAGTTTCAAACGTTGTTGGAGCTTTCTTCCCGTTCGCCGGAGTTTTATCAAACATATCATCTAAACTTTCGATAATATCAGAGTCCGAGAGAAAATTAGACTTCCGAATACTCTTAGTCGGAGACGCAGCGTACTCCGCAAGGACAGGCCGTGTCTCGACAGGATCTTCAGACTGGGGTTGAACCGATCTCCGTCCTGCAGTATTCTTATCAGGACTTTTATAGAAGTTCTTCAGCTCAATTCCGCGTGGTGGAGGTTTGGCCGCCTGCTTAGGACGACCGACGGGTTTAGCGGCAACAGGGGCCAAGCTTGTTCGTCTGTTCACAGGTTTAATCGGCTTCTCAGTCACTGTAGGCATCAGGGACATACGCTTGTTAGGCCTAAAACATAAGTTTGTTAGGCCTAAAACATTCGGTTGTTAGGCCTAAAACATTCGGTTGTTAGGCCTAAAACATTATATGAAGTTAAAATTTAGGAAAAATCAAAACTGTTTTGATTGAAAACGCAAGTCTATAATGTCTGAACTCAATTTTCACAGTGAAAACTTTCAGTTAGCCGTGAAAAATTAACCGACTCATATGCTCATAATATTTCATTGGCCAAAAGAATCTGATTTGCAAAATCTTAATACATGTTATTCAAGGAATTAACTCAGGGGTGTAAAATGTATATTTTTCAGAATTCCCCCCCCCCCAAAAAAAATCAATCGATTTCCCCCAATTCAACGAATAAAACTCAAAATAAAAAGAACACGTGTAACTCCGGGGGGGGGGGGTGATTCTGAAAAATATACGTTTTACACCCCTGAGTTAATTCCTTGAATAAACTCAAAATAAAAAACACGTGTAACGTCGGAGGGAGGTTATGGATAAACTCTTTTCGAAAGTAATTAAAATCAAGTTTCCATCTTGATTTTAAAAATTATACGGTTTTAATAATTTTTAATGTTTGTAAAATTTAGTTGCTAACCTCTGTATGATCGGAGGTTTATTGAGATGAATGGAGGATCTCCGAGCCCTAGTAACAACCCCCTTCGGAGACTTCAACGCTGTGAAATCAAATTGGTCTCCGGATACAAACTCATCCTAAATATTTAAGAAGTCCTGAACTTGTGATTTTTGACATTTATTGCTTCCAAATTTTTCAGATTCATTAAAGTGAAATTATTGCTTAAGTATTTCTAGCCTTGAACCGAATTAAATGAATTTGAGCTAGGAAACTGAACTACATATAGCCGGTTCAAATCGTACATCACCGATAACAAGTTTAAGATTCATTAGGATTGAAGTCGATGATTCCGGATTTGAGCCGACGGTAGAAAGTTCAGCGACCTCTCCAACTTATATTATGACAAAACCGGCTTAAAAATGACCGAACGCCGAATAAATAATAAAATAAGAACGCCAGTATCAAGAGTAAGAATAAAAAAATTTAAGATAAAAAATTAACAACCTGCTCCAATTCACCAAAACGCGAACTTTTTCTCCGACCCACCATCCTTTGTATCTGGAATATATTTCATTTTCAAACAGTTGAAACAGATTTTAAATTTACTAGTTAATGTAGTGAACTGACTACAGATTATTAGACTATTCTTGAAAACATTGTAAAGCATTGTCTCATTTGTACAGTTTGAATTGTACGTTTAGGACATTCTTACAACGTTGTACAGTAACAGTTTACGTACTATACAATTTACATAATATACAACGACGATTAAAACTTTCCGCGATAAATTTTGCACAGCGCAAAAAGGCTAGGCTTAGATTCAAGTTTCAGTCTAGTTTATTTGATCAACGTAACTAAAACTTTTGCCCCCTTAAAGTGAAAGGGAATTTATAAGTTTGTCGGGGGGAAAACTAAAATTTTGTATTGTTCAGCAAAACTATAAGAAACGAGAATTTAAACTAAACTAAATTTGAATTTACATTAATTTAAATGTTCAACCGAACTAAAACCTATTAATTGTTTAACCAAATAACAGTTACTAAAAATTAGAGCAAAAAAGTATTTGGAAACTCGACAAAACATCATTTACGTATGTTTAAAAAGTTTAAGCAAAAGTAACATCAAAATGTAAAATAAATACCTGTTCAGAACTTAATAAAAATAAATATAAATAATCTTTGATTTTTTTAATTTTCTTAAGGGACCCTCAAAAACCCCTTAATTTGGTTCTGTTATTGTATAAATATTAATACATTTTCATAAAATTAAATAATGCATTATGCAATGCACCACTAATAGAACTCAAAAAGACCAATTATTTTCTTTTTGCTAAAATTTCATTTGATCTAAAACTAATAAAACTATTTCGGTACAAAATGAAGTTTAATAACATTTTAGGTAAGTATGCTTCTAAATATGTCAAGAATGATATCAATATGGAAAGTAATATTCCATTAAAAATTTATCTAAATTTTTATTTGATTGAAAAATTCTGGACCGAATGATTCGAGAATCTAAGGAGGTTTGGACAAAACTCTTCTTTGTGTTTGGAAAACGTGTCTGGGTTCAAATTCGTCGCAACATATGTCGAGCGGACGATTAAGCGCTGACGAAAACTTAACTACACGAGTGTAAACTAAAACCGGACTAAAAACGTATTCACGAAAAAGGAAAAACAAATATTTTTATAAATTATCTGTTCATCACAGAGCATTTTTTTTTTGGCTCAATAGTAAAATAATTAAGGGTGGGCGAAGGCACTCAATTAACTAACAATTTTAAGGCAGCTAAATACTAAAACTCTAATTAAATCACCTTAAAGCAGATGCCAGATTAGGCGTTTCCTTAAATAATCTGTATGAATTTCATTATTGGTTAAAGACTTTTTTTTACAAAAGTTCAATAGTCTTCTAGAAAATGGTCGAACATTATTGTCAGTCAACTTTGTTGGAGGGAAAAAATTGAGCGTTTGAAAAACTTAACATTTCTTAGAAATTGAAACCATAAATTCGGTCAAAAAAAAATCAATATTTAGAAATTATGTTAATGTTACGTTAGGAGTCAAGTTAACCTAGAGAAGAGACTGTGGGCGTAATTTCAAGTGACCCCCCACACAGATTTCCAACGGTACCCTTTAAACCTTAATCTGATCAATCTTGAGAAAGATATCTTCGTTCTTTCTTCTTCTAGGTTTAAAGTAGTTTATTCTTATATTTTCTTCCTTTTCCTAAAGTAAAAATGTGTGAGTCACTTTTGAAAAGAACCCAGTTAAAATAAAATTAATATCTAATTCATACTTGACCAAACAAAGCTTACAAGGGTTACGTTGTAAATCGGACATTGCTATCATAAGTTTAAATAGAGGGTCACTTGAAATGTGTAAACTCTCCTTAAGGTAAAAATTATATTACAACCGACCCACTTTACTTGGCAACTGCTTTGTTTAACTCAAGAAATAAAACCGACCCCCCCCCCACTCCAACTCAAGGTTAACCCATCAAATGATCTAAGAAGAGATCGTCCAAACCCTCCTCATCCGCCATATGGAATACATAATCATCCTCGGATAACGGAGGATCAAGTGCTAAAGCCTCGATGCTGGAGCCAGGGGCCTCGGAGAATATATCTGAACCATGTTGGTCGAGGCTAGAGGCCGTCTCATTCTGATCTGTGAGGGCGTGACTGAGGCTGCTCACGATGATCTTTGTAAGATCGTCCTCGGGCTCGGAGGTTGCTTCACTCAGCATGATTTTGGTCTTGATAGGAGACAGTTCCTAAAATAAATATACGTCTATTTTTGTCATCCTGTATTTTCAACACCAGTTCTTTTTCCGATTGTCAGTAAATAAAACTACGACTTACCAGATCACTTTCTGAATCTGCTCCACTCTCTGGGTTCGTTTCCTCCTCTGGGCAGAGGAACACCTCGATCTCCCCGCTATCGCTGGACATATAGATTTGCAACCCGTCGCTAGGGTGGGGCACATGCAGCTTGGCTTCAGGGGGTGCCTTGATCGCCATAACAGTCTGGGATTTAAATCTTGCAATATTTCGGAGATCCTGAGAGACACAGTAAAATTAAAATCTAGAGATGGGAAAAATTTTCCCCCATACATTCTCATCACAAAATTTGTGTGGGGGTTGTACTTTTTGAATTAGTGAATTAATTTTTTGGAAGCTATTTTACTTTTTAGACAAATTAATATTTCCTTGTTAAAAGTCTCAGAAAATAATTATTTACATTTGCATTATTGAAACTCGCTTGACATAAAATATTCGGTATTTTCGTGGTAAACATGTAACGTCAGCTGTTTAGAGTTAACACTGTCCTATAGCGTACATTCCCGGTTTACAGCAATTCAAACACTAGTTAAGAGATAAACACAGAGTTCTCTAGCCTCGATAATCAGTCTAAGATTTAAAGGGAACCGTTGTGGCATGGAGTCACTTGTAATTACACTGACCGTCCCTTGAAATCATTATCTTATTGTTATCATTTCGATAAAAAAGGAAAAGAAATGGACAAAAACGTTCACAACATCCCTGTCGCGCAAAGTTCAATAAAGCTTGGTTAAACTAAGTTACTAACCTGATATGAAACATAAGCGTATTGTTTATCTTGATTCAGAAGTTTAAATTCAAGTTCTGTATTCCTGATGAGATCATCTATCTGGTTCTCCTGATAAATGAAAATCGGTTTGATTGTTCACAAATCTGGGTCATTGGACATAATCATAGAACAAAACCAGATTAATTGTAAACAAATATTCTTACTTCGTGTCAACAAATCTGGTTCATTTGTAAACCAGACATTATCATTCCATTGAACAATACCGGTTTAATTGTTAACAAATATTCTTGTTTCTTGTCAACAAATCTGGTTCATTTGTAAACATACATCATCATTCCATTGATCAATACCGGTTTAATTATAAACAAATATTCTTATTTCTTGACAACAAATCTGGTTCATTTGTAAACAAACATCATCATTTTAATGAACAAAACCGGTTTTAATGTAAACTAACATCATTCCAATAAACAATACCGGTTTCATTGTAAACAAATTATTCTTTTTTAAATCAACCAAACAATTTCAATCAATCGTTTAAATTGTATTAAATATAAAAATAAAAGTTCAAGAAACCCTAACAATCCAAATCGAACACATAAAAGATAAAAGGATGAATGAATGAAAAGCACCTTAGCCTCTAAATCTGCCATATCTGTATGAAGGTCAGCATATTCAGCTGAGAGGTCATGTGTTCTGGCTCCACACCAGTGTACTGTATTCTTAGACTTCTTCTCTACCAAACCAATTCCTACAGTAAACAATAATTAAAAAACTAAAATAATAATAATAATGATAATTGTTATGGAAAAGCAGTGCTAAGCCTGGATCCATTTGAATTTGATGCAGATCCTGGATCCGCACTGAAAAAAAATGGAACCGGGAAACGGATCCAGGTCATGAACATTTATTTAAGATTTACTGATTTTTTAACAAAAAATTAACTTCAGTATCGGTTTCTCTTTTTTCGCTTACTTTTATGATAAAACTTGATGAACCTTGAAGAGATAAGGATATTTATGATAATTTCTATTTTTTCAACAGTTCAGATTTGGAGGTTGAGAGAAATATTTTTTTTGCAGTTTATTGTTGATATTTTTATCCGTGGATCCGAATATTTTAATAGATCCGGATCCAGGAAGCCTAAATGTTGCGGATCCAACGGATCCGGATCCTAAGCACTGGGTTAGTATTTTTGATCGGGTGAGAAAGAAAGAATGATCCAGTGAGATTTTAGAGATATGAAGGAAAAATAAACACAGGAGTTGATTTTTTTAGTTTTACTAATTTATTTCTTTATGAAACTCATTATCACAATTTTATTGGTCTGCGTAGCCCCAGAAAACTTTTTGGAGCAAAATTCTAAGATTTTTTTTCCAAGCTCTTTTTTTCTTTAATTAGATTTGCCTACCATTTGAAACATGTATACTCTAAATTGAATACTTGAGTTGTATCATGGTATAAAAACAAAATTTGAATTGTTTAACAGTTTGTTTATAGGTGCAATCTTCTATTCTTGGGCATTTCTAATATTATCGTTCACAAAAAGCAAATTTTAAAATATATATTGGTTTTTATTGTGAAAAAAAAACGCGGAGGGAGGGTCTTTAATAAAAATTTGAACCCCTAGAACTGATTAATACTTATACTAACCCTCTAAAACATTAGTTATATCGTAGATTCTTCTCTTCTGAACGTTGAGGTTCTCGCTGGCCTGCTCGCAATTATTTTTATTATTTAGGATTCATATCAAAGTTTTTTTTTTTAAATTTTTTATCTATATAATAAAACAAGACATTCGTACATATATATGTTGCCTATAGCCGGCCAAACGACTGGGCGGATTGGGCTGAAATTTTTTGTGGAAACTCATGGGTGGCCGGAGGGTATTTAAGACTAAAAAATTTTTTCTTCAAAATCTTTTTAAACGGCAATGCCGGGCCCTTCAGCTAGTTTTTATATATTTCATTTAAAATTCTACACCCGTAAGGCTGTTAACGTTTCAAGGCCGAGCGGCGTGGCTACGAGAAAATAGGAGATCTGGCACTGCCCCTTAAGATAGACTAGGAGGCAGGCGCTGAGGATACGGTTCAGTAGTTTATATGTGGGGACATACCTGAATTTATGGCGATTATATTAGAACTATTAGAAAAGAAATCTGAAATTATATTACTTGCTTATTTCAATATTAAAATTATATTACCGAATTCGTACAATATATAAAATATACAGTACATTGTAATGTCAATGTCAAGTACATCTGATGTACAATTTGTACACTGGATTGTAATTGTATAGATAAAAATTTTAATCTCTGTTCATTTGTTTGTATGTCCGATCATAAATCATGAACCCCTTGACCGATTTGCCTTAAATTTTGTCTTGGGAACTCGGTAGAACCATATCATAGTGCATAGCTAGATTTTTTTAATTTAGTGGGTTGGTTTACATATCTAAAGTTTAAATTGAAGGGAAAGCTAGTAGATAATATAAAAACAGTTTCCTTGTTTAAGTCTACGGTACCACTAGGATCCAAATGGAACAAACTCACAAACTTCTTGGTCAGCAACCCAAGGGAGGTCTCGTACCTGGTTTTCTCCAAAGGAGATCTAAACAATAAAAAGATTTGGAAAAAAATCATTAAACATGTTTTCATGAGAAGTTTTTAGTACATTGTAAAATAAAGTTCAGGTTCAGTGCAAGGATAAATGAGATGTATTCGTAGTTTCTTTATAAACTAGGAATGCAGATTTATGCGGCAGAAGAAAATGAAGGAAACTGTCAGTATTCAACACGTTAAAAGAAAACGACAATATCTTCCTCATTCTTGCTCGGAGAGGTTAAAAAGATACAGCTGTGAGCCATCTATGCAAATCATTAAATCTAGGATCACTTAAATTTAAATCTGCAGTCTCTTCAAGGGATGATAAAAACACTGGGAATTTGCATTAGATATTAAAAGGAATTGAAGAAATACCGAAAAAAACGCGTTTAAGAACAAAATATTTTACTTAGCAATTTTAGCTGGAGAAGGAGACGAGGAAATATCTATCTTCCTTTTTAAGTTTGAGGCAGGTTTTATCGGAGTTTTAAACCCCTCCGGCTCCAAATTGTTATCCAGGTCGAGCCAGCGCCTGGCCTTCGACTTGACAGAGGCTGAGGATTTAGAACCAGGAGTTCGAGATCTAGAGTTCTCTGAACCAGGGGTCACGAAGGAAGCTCTAATAAAACAAAAATTAAATATTACAAAAATCAAATCAAATCAAATCAAATCAAATCAAATCAAGTCAAATCAAATCAAGTCAAATCAAGTCAAGTCAAATCAAGTCAAATCAAATCAAATCAAATCAAATCAAATCAAATCAAATCAAATCAAATCAAATCAAATCAAATCAAATCAAATCAAATCAAATCATAAATGCAGGAACTTGCTAAAAGCTTCCTAATTTTAGAATGGAGGATCATGTGCTTATCATTATTATCCCGCCCCTGGTACAGTCCCCTCCTTTAATTAAGATTTTAAGAATGTTAATATTTGGTGGAAATCCCGATTCTTGAAAAAAAGGTTGGATTGGAGTTTACTCTTGAATATATGACCTTTAAAGAAAATAAATCTCTCTTAAGACAAGGAATTGGCTAGAAAATGAAAGTTAAACAAATAATGAAGTAACCTTGATGTAATTCTCAGTAAATGTGATGTTGAGGGAGAAGGCGTGGTGTCTCCTGTAGGATCTGAAGGGGCGGAGCAACCATAGTCGTGGTCGCTAGACCTACCCCCGCTTTGGTAAACGGACAGGATTTCAACTGGTAAATTTCTAAACAAAAATAGTTTTCATAAATAAATGAACAAACATCATGAACATATCTGTTTGTAAAATTCAAAACTATTATTGTTTATAATATTGAGTGATAAGGATCCAGATCCATTGGATCCGCAAGATTTCGGCTTCCTGGGTCCGGATCCGAATCCGCAAAAATATGCGCATCCGGATCCACGGAGAAAAGTCTACCAAAACTGAAGAAAAAAATTTACTCTCAACCCCCAAATCTTAACTGTTACGATATGCATGAAATTTAAATGGATCTTAAGCACTGACAAACTTGAGTCAAATCAAAAAGTTCCGAAGATTGCAATGCTTATACAGGAATTTTTGAACTGTAATGTAATTCAAGGCATTATTTGAACTAAGTGTATCTAACATTTTTTTGAAGTTTTCGTTTAGATATTTTTTATGATTTTTTCTTTAATATAAGTTTATGACTAAAAACAGGTGTTATTATTACTCTGATTTCTAAGTTGTTACGATATTATTAAACTTTAAATTTCACATTTATAAGCGTATCTTTTTAAACCTTTATTACCTATACTAATGTAATTTTAAGATTTTGCTTGTATTTCACGCAAGCAAACAACCATCAAAATTATAAACTCGAGAAAAAACATTATTTATTCGATTAAACCTACCCTCTCCCCCCCCCCTGTTTAACGGGAAGATGTTACCTTGGTTGAGGAGTTGTTATGTAATACGAGTTTAATGGACTTGATGATTCACATTTTATGTTTAACGACTTCCTGATTCATTCATTTATTGGCGTCAGATATTATATATTAATCTTATATATCATTAAATCTCGGAATTAATCTCCGACAAAATTCAAGTGCCCTGCTTAAAGGGAGTGACCGGCTATGTAAGGTAGTTGAACTGAGGACGCAGTGTTGTGGAAAACTTCTTTAGGATTCATTTGAGACATATTTCACTTTTTAAAAGTCTGTAAATCCCGAGTTTGAGCGCAAATTCGACGTTCAAAACTCCTGATTTGGGGGTGGATACGCTTTCTTTCAAAAATTAATTTTTTTTCAATTATTAGTTTACGACGACATAAAATGTAAAAATATTCTACAATAAACTACAGACGTCATGTTTAGGAACATTTTGATATAAATAATATATAAATAAAAATTAATCTTATCATCGAAAATAAGTAATCTTGTTCAATTATTAGTTTCTATTATCTCATTATTCTAGTTTCTCGTTATTCACAAAGATGTTCGCAGATTTTCTATAACTATTATTGAAAAGACGACATTTAAAGAATTTGAAGAAATCTGCGAATAAATTCAAAGAAAATTAGAAATTCAATATAATAATGAAAACGAAATAATCGATTTTAGCATTGATTTATTGACAAATTTCTTTTGTGAAATATGTTCCTAGCCATCTAATTAGATTACTGTATAATTTTTACTTTATTTTTCGTTGTCGTTATTTAATAATTTAAAAAAAAAACTAATTCTAAAAGCGTATCCACCCCCAAATCAGGAGTTTTGAACGTCGAATTTGCGCTCAAACTCAGGATTTACAGATCTTTAAAAAGTGAAATATGTCTCAAATGAATCCTAAAGAAGTTTTCGACAACACTGCATACTCAGTTCAATTACCTTACATAGCCGGTCACTCCCTTTAATGCTCCATTTAGAATGGTTCTTTCCTTCACATAAATCTGCAGGTCGTTTTAAGTTTTTATTAAGAATCCAGAATTTTGAGAAACTGGTCAATTTGAATTTACTGGTGGGTTACTCAAAACTACGCCGACAGTCCTTTTCAGAAGATATTGTCAAAATAAAAATCCAAGTTAAAATGTTTGTATTGATAAATGCATTACATAACTCTGCTAATCTCCTGTCAGTTCTTGAAATCTATGAATGGTTTTGTTTTTCATAAAACAGAATTATTTTTGTTTTTATGAAATTAATAAACAAAATTTAACTGATTCAAGATAAATGAATATATTCCTTCTGTAGACAGGAGTATGGTTCACTGACGGCACTACAGCGTCTTCCTCGCTTTTTGTAACTACTGGGCACTCGAACATCTAAACAAGTGAAATTAAGTTTTATTCATTTTTTGTCATATTATGATTTCTTTTCATGACATTTTATTCTCCCAATATCAACAAGTTTATGATCACTTTATTCATAATAAGGAAAATTTGTAGAATTTGGTAAAAATCCTACAAGTTGACAGAACTTTCAGCATTTAATCCTTAATTATAAAAAACATTCCATGCATTTTTATGTAAGGTTTTCATTTTGAAAACATAGCTGATAGAGTTTTGCCCTCCACTTTTGAGGTTTGGAAGGCGTTCCGACCAAAATTAGAATTCCCAGCCTTTAGAGTCTGCTAATCTATCAAAGTTCGTCTTTGACTTTTTAGTCAATTCTTATTCTATCGAAATTTGAAGAATTTAAACAAAAAAAAACTTCTGACTAACTAGAACCCTCAAGAATATTTCTTGTTCGGAAAGCAGCACTTCCGGCAGGAATTTAAAGTCCTAATATGTTATAGTTAAATTTGCATTCCCCTTATGCAAACAAATTCTTAATTACATATAGCAGTTTTGTTCGCAATTTTTAATTTAAAGATGAAAATTCTGCAACTACGCTTGCAAAATTATTCGATAAAGATTTTGATTAAATCTTAATCATTGGAGAGCTCTGCGAAAAGCAACTCATTACAGCAATATATATGAAGATAAAATGAGACAATTTCTTTGGATAGGTTATACATTTCAAATAATGTTAAAACACAGAATTTCTTCTGGATACAATTTCCTCTCTATGTTTCTGCGAATAAAATAAACTATTGTTGATCTATTTTGATATTGAATGAAGTTGTTAAATAGAAGTAGTTGCATGTTTCTTAATTTGTTTAATTTCTTAACTTAATAAGAACAGATATATAGTATATATAAATAACAATTCACACAAAACTATTAGTTGGTACGGTACCAGGCCAAAAAATCCGTCATTTGAAAATGTAGTTGTACCTTCAAGTGACACCATTTATTTAGGGGCATATCCGATACACAACGGAACTCTTCAATGATTTAGAATTTCTGTTCCATAAACAATGAAGAAAATTGTCAGAATATCCTTTTCAAGTTGTAAAACGAGTTTCTTCCACGTTAATGATCAAATACGTTTTACTTGTAAGGGGTGGTTATTTAAAATCGTAAACTAGGAAGGACCCTTAAAGGGATATGAATAAGACCTACCACCTAATATATGAAATGTTACTTCAAATTTCTAAGTAATTAATCTGGTAAACAATCACCTGTTGGAGAGAAGATTGCCAGACAACTGAGGGAGGTTGTAGCAGAGTTGAGTTCCTGGACATTATATTTTAAACCAGACAATACTCAGCCACCATATTCCTCCACACCAACACAGGAGGACAGAGAGATCTGGAAAATTATTAAAAACTTAATTTCAGAAGAATATTTGGAATTGCTCTTTATTCTCAATCAACCTTGCAATTAAGACAGAATGTGAAATAAAGCGCGTCTTCCATAATATTGGGTCGTTGACGTGCATGTAGACTCGAACATAGTGATATTCACGAACTAAATAATATTAAAAATTGAAATTTATCTGAACCCAGTATAACAATTTATAAACCGAAAAAAAAACAAGAACCATAACTATAAGTAGGAAAATAAATATTTATGTTTTAATGTTAGGGAGGGAATTAAAATCATTTTCGATACGTGG